TGTTGAGAGTGTCGGTGTTATAGTGGAAAGGTAGCTGGGATAACTATTTGCCATTGGTGGAGTTTGCTTATAATAATAGTTATCACTTGAGTATTGGTATGGCACCTTTTGAAGCACTTTACGGGAAGGCGTGTAGGACGCCATTATGTTGGACAGAGGCAAGAGAAAGGCCATTGGTGGGACCAGAGATTATGGATACCACTAACGCTAATATCTAACTAATTAAGGCAAATTTGAAAGCAGCACAAGACCGACAGAAAAACATTGCAGACAAACACTCCAAGGATCGTGAGTTTACAGTGGGCGACTTTGTGTTCTTGAAGTTGTCTCCCTGGAAGGGTGTTGTTCGTTTTGGTAAGCAAAGAAAGCTGAGTCTTTGATACGTCGGTCCCTATCAGATTATTGAGAGAATTGGTGCAGTTGCTTATAAGTTGGAGCTACCACCGGAGTTGTCACTGATCCATAACATTTTCCATGTTTCCATGCTTCGGAAATATGTACCAGATCCCTCTCATATCATCCAGTTAGAGCCATTGGAAATAAATCCGGATGCTAGCTAGGTAGAAGAACTAATGGCTATCCTTGACAGACAGGATAAGGTGTTGCGGAACAGAGTTATTCCTTTGGTAAAGGCACTGTGGAAGAACCAACCATGCGGTCGAATAAGCTACTTGGGAAACAGAGGAATTAATGCAGAACCAATATCCCTTTTTTTTCATGTAAATTCACAATTTCGAGGATGAAATTTCTGTAAGGAGGTATATTGTTAAACCCCACCCCCAATAATAAAGGTAATTTTGAGTTTTATTTAATAGGTGTGCCTAGGGGGCCCACCTTGTTTTTGTGTCCCTAGTTTTTTCCTTTCTTTCTAATTTCTAACACACACACACACATAATTCCCTTTCTCCTCTCCCGCACTTCTCCCGTAGCTTTTTTTCTCTCTCTCTACCCACTCACCACCATCAGACACTTCTTTATTATTTTTTTTATATTTAAAATGTACGTTTACTCTCTCACTCTCTTTCTTCCTCTTCAATTCCTGCAACTTCACTCTCTCTCTAACTCTCGAAGCTCTCTCCATCTCTCTTTAGCACTGTGAGTCTTAGTGACCACCATCACCTATTCCTTCACAACTTTAACCTTAAATCTACATATTCTAAACCTATGGGACTCGGGGAACAAGAATATGGTCTTGCATGCATCATCGGAGCACTATGAGGTGCTTTGCCATTGAAGCCGAGAGCCTCGAGCTCTATTCTTGAACCCCAGGTGAGGTTTCTCACCTAATATTTAATACTTGACTGATGTTAAGTTCTAGGGTTCTTTCTATGATGATCTGCATTGAGGTTGAGTTGGGATTTGAGGGTTTTAATCTCTGTAGTATACTATGCTTTTACAGTGTGTGTGTGTGTGTCTGTGTGGGTGTGTGCGTGTATGGTGAGTAAGTGTGAGTGAGTGTGGTGCACGTGTGTGTGTGTGTTATGCCGTGCGTGTGTGTGTGTTGTGCTGTGTGTGCATGTATATGAGCAGGTATGTGCATGTGTGTTGTGCATACATGTGTGTGTGTGTGCTGGCGTATGTGTGGGTTTGGGCTCAAGCCCAAACCACCCTTTTTATTCCTAAATTATCCAAACCCAAAACCTAATAGGTCATAACCTTGCTTAACCTAAACCTAAACCCAAATCCGGATCCAAACCCAAGACACATTTCCATTTCTTGAAATTCTATAGTTGGGTAGTTTGATAAATTGTACATTTTTGTGCTTAGGTGAAGTTGCTGTTGGGGATTTCCTTAATCCTTTTCCGTACAACTCTGCTACTATGGAGTATCTGTGAGTGGACCCTTTCTAAAATTTGCATAACTTCATAATTTAATTGCATAAATTAAATGCATGCCTTACGAGTTAATGAACTGATTCTATGTTAAGCATGTTTATGAAATATGTTGTTTATCATCTCGTTTTTGGCGAGGAATTAATTGTTGGCCTATATTTGAGCTATATTTTAATATATCGTATGTTCTATAAAAAACCATGAACTGGTAGACTATTTGATGGATGACGATAGGATGCTAGAACATGTTTTTGAAACCCCTCTTTATAGTATAGACAATTGATGACTTTATACTATGAAGTGGTTATTTATGAGAGGCTTAACTATTTGTGCGTACCTAGTGGACACTATGCCGCCTGGGGCGAGGATCTGGTGTTGGCAGATAGGCCGGGAGAAATAATCCCTAGTTACGGGCTGAGGGACACGAAGCAGGCATTGGGCTGGGAGTTAGTAATCTCTGGCTACAAGCGCAGAGACCACGGTGCTGGCATAGGGCCGGGAGATATATTTATTTCAGTAATCTTACTAGTAGTACATCGCGCGACGAGACAATCTGTGAGACGTTTGATATTTTATTTTCCATGATGACTTTTGAGATATTTTTGGCATGCTAGGGTTTTCTATAAATCCATTACTTATTATACTAGTAGTTTTCTTTATATAAACTGTGGAGGTTAGTATCTTGATAACTGTTTTATTATTATTAATATATGAACTTAGTCTACTTACCTTTGTTTTGCGCCCCCATTTAGGTCTTAAAAACGAGGACTACGACATAATGTACAAGGCATTCCCTTACCAATAACAACCTATCACTCACTTGTGTGATATCCTGTAATGATCTTTCTTTTTGTGATCTTGTTTTAGAACGTGTTCTGTACACTCTAGACATTTCCTTAAACCTTGTGTATTACTCCTAATCATTACTCTTGTAATCAATAAATGGCTTTCGTCACCCTCAGGTGTCGGCTAGCATGTGCTTATCCGGATATTCGGGGAATATTGAGGTCGGGACGTGTCACTCCGTCTACCGTGTTGCCTACTCTGATGTGAGGTGGAAAATACTTTTAGCGAGCGTAATTGTGAATGCACACTTTGCCTGAAAGGTTGTCCATGTTGATAATCAGAGTGTGACCTCAACTGTTAACTTATGTTCGTCCATGGGCTTAATCTGGAATGCACGCTCCCCCACGCGCTAAGACGAGAGTATATGCTATCCCAATGACCTAGACTGGAGTGTAAACTGCCTGAACGCTTGGATCGTGACTGGTTGATGGGCTGCTTGCCGGGACGCTAGTGGAGAAGTTTGTTTGCCCTTGTCCTACTTTGGGACATCTTGTCTGAGGCACGTTGGATCTCGATGTGTTGCAAGAATTGATTCACCAAGGTTGTCTGTTGTGCAAGGGCGCTCGTCAACTCTATGACTTGTCGAGACAAGTGTTGTTCACCATTTAGATTGGAAGGGCTTGGAAGGAATGTGCCTCATTGAGCAGTGGAATTATGATAGGCTATGGGATTGAGATTTGAATTGGGAAATGTCAAATCTGCGGAGAACCGTGGTCAAAATTCCCCCGATTCAATCGTAGGCCCATAAATTTGAAGCCAGGATGGTTGAACTAATCTTGGACCGATTTAGGCTGCTTGGAATGCCACGGGAGCAGGTTGGGCCACAGAAGCATGCTGGGCCACGAGAATGGGTTGCTCAGAAGGAGCAGGCTGAGCCACGGGGGCAGGTTGGGCCACAAGCGTATGTGGGTGCGAGGCTAGGGCTCAACTTGGCAACGCGTTGGGCTTGAAGCGACATGGCTTAAGTTGCTTTGATGGCACAGCTTGGGCCATGTAGTGGTGCCATGGACCTCGCCGCGAGTGGTTACCGAGGTAGCCACCACGGTGGTTCCTGTGGTGGAAACTCGTGGTGGTGGTGCCGCTCCACTTATTGTCACATTTAGCCTTGTGGATTGTTGTGGTCCCATATCTTGAATGTTGAAATTTTCATCTGTTGAATTTTCTAAATTTCTAGCCATTGTTCTTCTCTTTTACGTTTTATCAGAGAATTTTTGCAAATAAAAAGTTCTAATAATAAGAACGTATGAAAAATCTACAAATGGACAAGAAAATAGAAAACCTTGGATGCGAGAGTCTTTTACGAGTGTGGGACTCAACTCTCAATGAAAGCACCAATTTATGGATGCAAATTTCTTCCTCCTTGATCTTGGACAAAATTGCACCTACAAAACAATTAACACCTTCGGGTCAAGGCCAAGAGCCTTACGCACCCACGATGAATGGGGGGCTTTGGCTGAAGGACCTCTGAAGCCAAAGTTAGAATTTAGAGAGAAAAGTGTTTAGAGATTTTTTGGAGTTTTGCAAGAGTATGGACCTAGTCTTTCAAAGAAAATGGAGTCCTATTTATAGAGCATGGCCGACCCTCTTTGGAAGAGAGAGTGGCCGGCCCTTGGATGTTTTTTGGGGTGTAATGGTGATTAATTTGGTGATTAATGGATTAATTTGAAATTAATCCATTAATTAGCCTAATTAATTTAATTTATATGGAAGGTTTTGAAGGTTATGGAATGATTTCCTTGTAGAGGATATGGAGTAAAGATGGATGAGAAAAATTTGAACTTGTTACCTATTTTGGGCACTCTTGATTCGGTTGATGGATGATTCTTCACTGCTCGCGTGTAGGAAACCTGGTGTGTCTCGAGGGCAATTCTGTCCTGTTCACCTAAAAACCCACGTGTCGCATATTGATTATTTTTGGCTCCACAACTGTCACATGTCTCTCTAAAATATGATTTACACAGAAAAAAAAACCCCTAGAAGATTCTAACTGTCATCTTCTGCTATCTGGTCCTAAAGAAAATATTCATTCTTGAACAAAGGCAACAGAGATGTGAGTTTCTGGATTGCAGATTCATTCAAGTTTCTTTGAAAGGAAAATCCAGCTCAAAGGAAGAAACTAGTTGATTGACAATAGAGCAAACTGTGTACTTTCTTTTAAAAACACCTATGCATGCAGACATCCAAGTGTGAAGTTATACTCAATCACAAAATCATTAAGCAGGTAAAGGTAACTATAAATTTCCAACTCGTAACAAGTGAAGATTTAGAGCTTGAGACAAACCTATAAAAAATGTCGTTGCAGAATAATTAGCTGAATCTTTTCTAAGCACTAGCCTTCTTTTCTGGTAATGACCTCCCCTTGCTTTGAGAGAAATTCGATCTTGCTCTTGAAATCTGATGGATATTATGTCTCAAATAAGTTTGTCTTCCTCTAGAAGTTTCCAAAGAGACGGTATCCCCGCTCTTACCAGAGTGTTGTTGACCAGCCCTATCATATTTCCTAGCTCTTATTCTGTCCGACCTTCCTCTTTCAGCATTTCTGGAAGGTGCTGTCACATTAAAAGCAGAGTTCCTAGCTTTTCTTCCATCCGACCTTCCTCTTTCAGCATTTCTGAAAAGTGCTTTCCCATGACAATTAGATTTCTTAGCTCTTTGTCTTTTATTATTGATAGCATTTTGTTTAACGCTTGTCTCACTCTGATATTCATCTTCTTCATCACTATCACTGTCGACATCATCATACTCAACTTCACCATCAAGTGAATCACACAACTCCCCTTCTTGCTGGTCCTCAGTTTCATCATCCTCTTCTTCTTTGTCGTCTTGTTTAACATGAATTACCTTCTTGTTTTTTGAGTACTTTTACCTGGCATGCTGATCGTTTTACTATCTTCCTTTAACGTGTTCATAAGGTGAATATACTAGCTTCTCATATTCGTTACTGGATGATCTTCAACAATCACACCCCTTTTATACCCCTATCTCAAAACAACAATATAAGTTCCCATCTTGTTTGACAAATAAAATATACCAAGGTGAGTGTGTAATGCTTGCTTAAACCTCGACCGAAGTCCCAAATGCTCGCCAAGACACAAGATCTTCTCTCTGTCTGTCTTCTTCGGAACCAAGATATCCAGATACTCGTGCAGAACAGCGACCGCCCACTTAACTGATTTGTCACTATTTGTGAAACTCCGTCCCAGATTTAGTGTATTTTCATGTTGCCAGATTTATAAAATTACCATTGTACCCTTGAGTTGACTTCCATTGACTGTCTCATCGAAACGCGTAATCTTAATTTAATTAATTTATTCGTATCGTACTCATTGTTACGAACGCATAGGCACAAAAGGATTCAAATTCGGATGTATAACAAAGATTCTACGTTCGAACCATCGAACGTTTTCGGATATTTTCTTCTTTCTCTCTCTCTCCCATCACTTTCTCTTTTTCTCTCTTTAAGCTCTCCCGTGCCCTTTCTCTGCGATCTCCCTTCTCTCTCTCTCTGAGTTCACTCTCATAATAACACTGACCCAAAGACTCAAGGCTTGGACGTTGGACGTCGAAACCTCAGGCAAAACTCGATACTTCAACCTCAGTCAAAACTGTTTTGACATTGGTAAGCTTCTAGAAACCCTTGGGATGTGTTTTAAGGTTAGATCGAAGCTTGTTTTAAGTTGTACATATGTGTTACATGCAGAAATAGCTCAAAGTAGGCTTTTCCTAGTTTTCCGGCCAAACCACGATGATTGAGCCATCATGCAAGGTACTATTCTCTTCATCTCGTTGAGTACTATAACTTTCATTCTTGAATCACTCGATTTGGTTGAGTATTGAAGAAGTTATGAGCGTTTGAAAACTTGCCCAAAAAGAGGCAACATGTGGCCTGAAACTAGGTTGACCCAAACCTTTAAACCCGGATCCAAACCCATCCCAAAAACTGGCTCAAACCTTTGGGCCAGGCTACCAAGCCCAAACCTAATTACCCAACCCAATTACCCAGCCTAATTGCCCAAGCCCAAACCCACTAAGCCTAAACCCAAACCCACTAAGCCTAAACCCAAACTCAAACTAAACCAGCCCCAAACCCATAACCCAGTCAGCGCGTGGGCAAATGTCTTGGCTCAAACCTTCCACCGGAGGTACTGTTCTTCGTCGCCATCCATGGCGGCAACCACAGCGACGCCGACGACTTTTTCGACCAACTTTCCGGCGACCCAATTTGGTGTATGGCGGCGCGTAGGGGTACCCAAGGTCCCCCCTTATGTTCTTCGACGTCCTGAATTCGTTTATGACGTTCGTTTTCTGAAATTCAATTACTATGGTAGAGTTTTATAAATTGGACCCTTTATGTGCTTAGGTGTGTTTATTAGGGGCGCTTCCATCCTTCCCATTTTGCATGGCTCTTCGACGATGAAGTATCTGTGAATGGATCCCTTCTAAAATGCATATTTTACTATTAGAAATGCATACATGAAAAGCATGATTTAATGGCTACATTTTATGAAACCTTTATGAGTAAATTGGTTTTACGCTTGATGAAATATCATGATTTATCGAATTTGCATTCTTTGTTGTATATATGATTTATGATTATATACATACTTATGAATGTGGTTTTATGATATGATGTTTGAGCTATTGAGCTCCGATGACACACACACATATATATATATATATATGTATGTATTTTTTGGAAAGATTATGTTCATGATTTTATGTGCTTATTTAGTATTTATCCATACTATGAGCCTACAGGCGATTGATACTTATATTTGGCTTCTGTCGAGTGATGTAGTGGCTTTAATCGGAAGATATTTATATTTGGCTTAAGTCATGTGATGTAGTGGCTTCAGTCGGAAGATACTTATATTTGGCTTCGGTCGGGTGATGTAGTGGCTTCGGTTGATTATATAACACTACTAAGCACATTATATACGATATATGTTTTATGAAAGGTGTTATGGCATGTTAGGTTTTTGGAAAACCTATTACATATTATACTATTGAATTTTCATAAACTTTGGGAGTTAGTACGTTGATGAATAACTATTTTAGTATTACTTATATATCAACTTGGTCCATTCATGTTTTGTTTTGCTCCCCCTCAGGACCTAGGAACAAGGCATATGATCCGAGCTACGAGGCATTCCCATACCAATGACGTTGGGTCATTCCCTTTGCTTGGACATTATTGTAATATCACTTTCTGTTACAATTCTGCTTGTATTCCGAATTAGTAGTATGCTCTGAACATGTCATGCATCATCACTATTATTTTATTGGCAGTTGAACTTATTATATTATTTTTGATAAGATTGTATTTGAATATTACATTGCATAGTTATGCACGAAATTTATATGCATATTTTACATGTTCTCGGCATATGCATTCATAAAATGGCTTGCGTCACCCTCCGGTGTTGGCCAGCACGTGGCTATCCCGTTGTCCTTCGGACACCAGGATCGAGGCATGTTAAATTGGTAACAGAGCATATTTAGGATTTCATTCTTCCATTTCGTAATCATAATCTTTCCAATAGTTAAAATATTTCGTCATTCTAAATCTTGTTTGCCTCCTATCAAAATCATGGATCCTTCTGGTGGAAATGTGCCTCGTTGACCTCGTTCTGGTTTAATGGGTGAGATTCAGAAGTTGACCTCTGCTCTGCAAAATGCTTTTCCTGGTCGTAATGGGTCAAGTCGTACCTATATAGAGATTGCTCGAAGTCACGGCGTTACCGAGTTGAATGTGGTTAGAGCCTGTGAGGAGGCAGAGGATTGGCTAGAAAAGATGAAGGATACTCTGGAGGGTATGAAATACCCACCGGCGGAGTAGGCGAATACAGTTGGTTACTTCCTTCATGGTAAAGCGAGATATTTGTGGATATCAATGACGGACTCTCGCCTTCGTAACTCTATGATGACCTGGGCTACGTTCAGGAGACTTTTCAGCATACACTTTTTGAGCCCCGGGTATCAATTGAAAAAGAGACAGGAATTTCTATATTTTTGCCAAGGCAACTTGAGTATCACGGAGTTTGATAACACATTTCGACGGTTGTCGAGACACCACAACAAAACCTATGGGAACCCTCAGGAGATGATGGTACAGCTGAGGATTACTATGAACAATGACATCTATGAGCTTTTGGCACCATAGAGGTATGCATCATACGAGGAGATGATTGAGACGGCTTTAAGGGTCGAACAAATGAGGTAGAGCAAACTTAACCAGAACCAGCACCAAAACCAGAATCAACCTTGGAACCAGAATCAGTAGGGTCGTGGATTCCGATCTAGAAGCATGAGGGAGCCTTCTAATTTTTCTTCTTCCTTCGGCCCTAGACACTCTCAATCGTTGAAACGACAAGGTCAGTGTTCAAGATCTTCCAATAAGGGTTTAGGCAGTGAGTCATCAAGGTGATCTTTCAGCCATTTTAATCCAGTAGTTGCGGATTGCGAGCGTTATGGTAGGCGTCACCAGGGTGATTGCCTTGCTTATGTAGGCCCATGTTTCAGGTCTAGTGGTGTCAGACACCAGGTCTGTGATTGCCCTTCGGCATGTCTATTGGAGAATTATGCTTTTAGTTCAAATTACGGTTGAATTAATAATCCAGCTGCTCAGAGCTATGATAGGAGTAGCAATCCGAGTACTCAGTTTTCTACTTAAAGACAGCCGCAGTATTCTAGAATAGCTTCGGGTAGTCGTGCTCAAGGGAGCCGAGCAGGCCGCAATAGCCAGGGTGCTAGGAATTGTGACGGCCATAGCAGTAGTTCGGGATGTCAGGCCCATGTGCATATCAACGCCATGACTCAGCAGGAGGCAGAGTATGATCCTAGAGTTATTACTGGTATGTTACTTATTTTTGGTAATTGGGCTTATGTTTTGATTGATCCAGGTTCTACTTATTCATTTATATCTCCACAATTTGCATGGGTTGTGAATTCGCAACCCACATCACTCGATTTTGATATGTTCATACAATTGCCACCTAGAGATCTATTTTGTGCATAGTGGGAGTTTAGGGATTGCCTGGTTATTATTGAAGGGGAAATCATTGAGACCAATTTGATTCCCTTCAAACTTGTGGAGTTTGATATCATTCTGGGAATGGATTGGCTATCTAAGCATAATGTTTATGTTGGATGTAGAGATAAATTTGTGACATTTGATCGGCCTGGACAATTAGCGATCATGTTTCAGGGTGAGTAACAGATCCTTTAGAATAGTATTATTTCCACCATCAGAACGACGAAGTTACTACAGAAAGGTTGTGTAGGATTCTTAGTTCACGTGGTCACACAAGGTGAACCTTCTCTGTGTGCTGGAGATGTTTTCTAGTGGTAAATGAATTCATCGATGTATTTCTTGAGGATTTACCGGGGTTACCAACTGCAAGGGAAATCAAATTCATCATTGATTTACTTCCAGGCACCAACCCTATTTCCTTAGCACCATACCAAATGACACCAGCTGAGTTTAGGGAATTGAATATTCAACTTCAGGAGCTCATGGATAAAGGCTACATCCAGCCCAGCATGTCTTCCCTTGGCCCTCCTAGATGGGTCGATGAGATTCTACATCGACTACAGGCAGCTTAATCAGGTAACAGTGAAGAACCATTATCCCCTACCTCGGATTGATGACTTGTTTGATCAACTAAGGGGTGCTCAGGTATTCTCTAAGATCGACCTTCGTTTAGGTTACCATCAGTTGCTGATCCAAAATGAAGATGTACCGAAGACTGCTTTTCGCACTAAGTATGGACATTATGAATTCCGTGTCATGCCCTTTGGGTTAACCGATGCACCTATAACTTTTATGGATTTGATGAATAGACTTTTAAGACCGTATCTTAATCGGTTTATGATTATGTTCATTGATGACATCTTGATCTACTCCAAGAGCAATGTTGAGCACATGAAACATTTGAAGTTGGTGTTGGAAAGGTTAAGGAAACATCAGCTATATGCGAAGTTTAGTAAGTGTTAGTTTTGGCTAGACCATATCAATTTCCTCGGGCATGTGGTTTCCGCTGAGGGAATTTGTACAAACCCTCGAAGATTTCTGTTGTGTCTATGTGGGAAATCTTGAAGAATGTTACTGAACTGCGGAGTTTTCTGGGACTGGCTAGCTATTACGGATGTTTTGTGCAAGACTTCTTGGTGATTTCCCTGCCTCTTACTAAATTGACCCAGAAAGGTGTCAAATTTGACTAGGATGAGAATTGTGAACGGAGTTTTTAGGAGCTTAAGCAACGTCTTACTCATGCCCTCATCCTTGCTCTTCTGGACGATAGTGGTGAGTTTGAAATCTACAGTGATGCATCTTTGTCGGGTTTGGGTTGTGTTATGATACAACATGGGAAAGTCATCACCTATGCTTCCAGGCAACTCAAAACTCATGAGCCACTCATGATCTGGAGCAATGGTCTTTGCTTTAAAAATATGGCAACATTACTTTTACGGCAAGAAGTGTGACATCTTTATAGATCACGATAGTTTGAAGTATGTCTTTACGCAGAAGGAGTTGAATTTGAGGCAGAGAAGATGGATAGAACTCATTAGTGACTACGATTGCACTACTGAGTATCATTCTGGTCACACCAACATCATACCGGATGCACTTAGCCGGAAATCCTACGGACAACTTGCTTCTTTTCAAGCTATCTATGTTCCGCTACTGTTTTCTCTTCGAGAAACCGATGTTGCAGTGATGTAACAACAAATCCTGGAAATTTACGGAACGAAAAGGCAGTGTTGTAATTTCATTTTGGTTATGGGATATTTGTTTAAAATTTTGTTTTTGGGTCTTAATAAGTGTGCCCAAAAGAGGCCCACCTTTGGCCTGTGTCCCATTGGCCCAATTGCTCTCTCTGTTTTACCTCTCTTGTGTCTCTCACTCTCTCACTCTCTCCCCCTCTGCAAGTTATCTTTCTCATCTTTGTCACTCACCCACACACACACCCACACACCTACATCCCACAGACCACTAACCATCTTCATACCACACGAGTGCAAAAGAACTGCAAACATCATGACTGGACAGCCACCTCTTGAACCCAACCTTGTGCCATCGAGTCGAAAAGCTCTGGCGAGGTGCTGTAGTTTTCAGAAGAAGGTAAGTGTCCATAACCACCCAAATCTTCGTGGATGAGGTTCT